ATTCCACCTAGTCGTCGATTATAAAGCCGCATTCGACAGCCCTATTCGATCAGAGTGTTTAAAGTGGCTTTGCAGAATAACTTTAATCGGTACAATGTCAGCAGTTAAAGTAGGAAAGGACCTCTCGGAGTCCTTCAATACCGCACGAGGATTCAGACTAAGTGACAGTTTGCCGTGTGACTTATACAACATCCTGGTTGAAGAGGTCATACGAGATGCAAATGTGAACAGAACTGACATTCTGTACACCAAACACCAGATGCTACTCGCCTACGCTGACATAATGGGTCGAACATTGTATGGATATCCGGAAGATCTATGGGCCGATCTGCGTCGATGGTGAATATCGCCGTCGAATGAATCATAAGCTATACCGTCTATTCTCAGACATCGACATAGTCAGATGGATCAAGCTAAAATTTTCTTTATATAGATTTACTGTACCAAATCAGTCATAGGAAAAAAATTGTCATCTATACAGAAAATATTTCCCAAAAAATGTTGTACCTAACGAAACTATATTCTCTCCCTCGTTAATGATAACTTCAAGCCCCTGCTTATCAAAAATCTCCACCTCCCTATCTCTCTTTCCCCATAACATCATCTCATATATGCTAATACTTTCATTTAGCAAGTCAAGCGATAATGGATGGTATCTGTTTTTATGAGCCTACATAAAAGTAGCTGACAGAAAGCAACAACAACAAAGACTACTACAACAATAACGACCAACAAGTCAATGCTGTGTAAAAAAATATCGTTTTATTGTAGTGCAAAAGTGCGATAGTAAAATCGCATCAAAAGAGTGGCAGACAGGCGCAACAAACTTCGGCCTCATACATTGTATGGCAGCAACAGCAGCAGTCATGGCTATAATTTGTTGCCTTCTTCTTTACACCATCGTCATCATTATTAGCATCACCATTCTTCAGTTGTTGTTGTACAACTTTCGGCTTCAGTTTCATTTGAAAATATAGTTTTTTTGTTCGCTCACAAAATATCCAGCAGTTTATTTAAAATGACGGTTATGGCAAATTGCTGTAACACCTTTTTGTTGCAAATGGAGAGAGAAAGAGAGGGAATTGCTGCCAAACAAATGGAAAATGAAAAATTGTTGGAAAATGCAAAACAAGAGAAAAAAAGAAAAGTCTATTGCTGCAGGGCAGAAATGCAAATTGCTGGCTAGTGTCCCAAGCTGGATGATTGTGGAGTGTTTTCGATTGTAGTTGCTACAATTTAAATGATATGATAATAACAATAAGAAAGAGATAAATAATGGATAAGAAATATTGTTGAAGTGTAGGGAATGAATTGAGGGGAGTGGGGAATGGAGGGAATTAAGAAGAGAAGCGAAGGGAATGAGGAGAAGCATAAATCGACAATATTTTCCACATCATTTTGCTATTGACCGTTTTTTCTATAGAAAATCTAACTGTCGATAAAATTTTTAATATCGAATATTGTTATCGACAATATTTTCATAGTTTTTATCGTTAAAATTTTCTAGTAAAAAATCTGAAATATTTTGTGCAAACTATTTTCTTATTGACAATATTTCCTATTTAAATATAGTTATAGGTATAATTTTCGAAAAAAATGGTTATTGGAAATATTTTCTATCGAAATGTTATTCTGTGTATAGATAAATATTCTGCAATATATAAAAAATATAATATTATCCATAGAAAATCTTGTTATCGATTTTATTTAAATTATTTTTCATAGAAAATTATAACATCGATAAAGTATTAAATAGAAAATATTGCTATCGATAATCTTTTCTTTAAAAATCGTAGTTATCGATGGTATTTCCTTAAGAAAACGTTGTTATCGATATTATTTTCTATTGAAAATCTTGTTATCGGTAATATTTTCTGTAAAAAATCGTTTTATCGATAATATTTTCTATAGAAAATCTTGTTATCGATACTGTTCTCCATAGAAAAATATTGTTTCAATACTATTTTCTATAAAAAAACTTGTAATCGATGACATTTTCTAGATAAAATCTTGTTATCTTGTAATCTTTTCCGTAAAAAAAATTTTATCGATACAATTTTCTATAGAAAATCTTGTTATCGATAATATTTTCTATAGAAAATAGTTTTATCGAAATATCACTTTATACAAAGTTTTTTTTTGCGAAATTATTTTCAATTTAAAAACTTATTATCGGTCATTTTTCTTTAGAAAAACATGTTAGCGATATCCTTTTCTAATAAAATATTGTTATCGATACTATTTGCTATAGAAAATCTTATTGTCGATAATATTTGTTAAAGAAAATCTTATTATCGATAATATTTCTTACAGATCGATATCGATCGATATCGATAATATTTCTTGTTATCGAAAATATTTTAAATTAAAAAAAAATTATCGATAATATTTCCCATAGAAAACTTTACTATCTAAATTATTTTCCCCTCAAAATCGATAATATTTCTTGTTATCGAAAATATTTTAAATTAAAAAAAAATTATCGATAATATTTCCCATAGAAAACTTTACTATCTAAATTATTTTCCCCTCAAAATCTTGTTATCGATACTATTTTCTATAGAAAATCATATCAGCGATAAAATATTAAATAGAAAATCTTATTATCGATAGTCTTTTCAATAGAAAACATTGTTATCAATACTATTTTCTATAGAAAATCTAGTTATCAATATTTTTTTCTATATAAAATTTTGTTATCGGTACTTTTTTCCATAGAAAATCTTGTTATCGACAATCTTTTCTACAGAAAATCTTGTTATGTATGCTATTTTCTATAGAAAACTTGTTATGAATAATATTTTCTATAGAGAATCTCATTATCGATAATTTTTTTTGTATAGGAAATCTTGTTATCGGAAGTATAGAAAAATTTTCTATTTTCTATAGAAAACTTGTTATGAATAATATTTTCTATAGAGAATCTCATTATCGATAATTTTTTTTGTATAGGAAATCTTGTTATCGGAAGTATAGAAAAATCTCGTTATCGGAAATAGTTTCTATAGAAACTCGTATTAACGTTAATATTTTCTATAGACAATTTTGTTATCGATAATATTTTCTATGAACAGTTTGTTATCGATAATATTAACGTTAATATTTTCTATAGACAATTTTGTTATCGATAATATTTTCTATGAACAGTTTGTTATCGATAATATTTCCTATAGAAAATCTTGTTATCGATTATCTATTATATTAAAAATTGTGTTATCGATAATATTCCTACAGAAAATCTAATTATCGATAATCTTTCCTATAGAAAAATTCGTTATCGATACTTTTTTGTATATTCAAACTTGTTATCGATAATATTTTCTATAAGGAATCTCGTTACCGATTATTTTTTTATAGGAAATTTTGTTATCGATACCATTTTTTATAGAAAATGTTGTTATCGGAAGTATTTTCTGCAGAAAAACTTATTATCGATACTATTTTGTATTGAAAAACTTGTTATCGATTATAATATTTATTGTACATCTTGTTATCGAAGATATTTTCTCTACAAAATCTTGTTATTGATACTATTTTCACTGCATTTGGAGATTTAAGCCGTATTTAGGGCTCGATGTTTTGTCTCCTTTGACCGATTCCAGACAAAAAATTCTATAGAATTTTGCCAATAAAACACTCAAGAAGGTTCGACAAGAATTCGGGTAGAAATTATAAACGATCCTCTTCGATAAAGGCTCCACAAAAAATTCTATAGTTTTTCGTCTGCCATTCTCTGATAGATAATCGCTCAGAATTTCTATAAAAAAATCATTAACCTCCGATGAAGGATCGACAAGAATTTCTGTTGAAATTCTCAGAGATCTTCTGAAAGATTATCGCCAAGAATATAACAGATCGACAAAAATTTCCCATTCCGGGATCTTAAAGTGCGAGAAATGTCGATAATGAATATGTTCAATATGGGTCCATGTTATGACGTAGCCCTTAAAAATTACATTTTTGCACCGAGAGAAGAATAAAAGCTTCCAATGATCCCCAAAGATCCCGATTAATTTTCTTTGGGAGGTAGAAGATTTTGTCCTAGTTTTGCCAACCTGATTGCCTGTTAGTGGGTATGTAATTTTCTCCGAAAAATAAAAACCTCCTGATTGTCGATTTCGAATGTAAGTCCATTTTCGTAACCCCTATATAAGGGTTCCAGATTTTTTTTAGATCCTATTAATTTTTGTCGGTATGTTGAAGTTTCTGCTCTAGTTTTCTAACCTGATTGTCTGTTAAGGTATTTCATTTTCTCCGAGGTTGTAGATTTCGAATATAAATCTATTTTCGTATGTAATCCTATAGAAGTTTCTCGATTATTGTCAGGAAATTCGTGTCAAATACATGAAGCCCTTCTGTTTCTATAATCCGAATTGAAGGCTTGACAAGAATTTCTATAAAAGTTCATCAACGATCTCCCATAGAAGATCGACATAAATTTCTATAAAAATTCGTCAGCGATCCTTCCATCGAGGTTCGTTAAAAATGTCTACAGTTTTCCAGCCCGACTGTCTGTTACTGGGTGTTTCATTTTCTCCGAGGAATAAAAACCCTCATGGTTGACGATTTTGAATATAAGTCAATTTTCGTATGTATATAAGGGCCTCGAATGTATATAAGGGCCTAATAAGCCCTTCTCCTTTAGAGGATCGACATAAATTTCTATAAAATTTCGTCAGCGATCGACAGTTTTCCAGCCTACAGTTTCCCAGCCTGACTGTCTTTTACTGGGAATTAATTTTCTCAGAGGACAAAACCCTATATAAGGGAACTTGTTTAGGAATTTTTGAAGGAGAAGCTCTTGGAAGAAGTTCGGCCTGATTGAACTATATTAGGGTCCCTAACATTTTTAATAATTGTAAATGCGAACCTCATGTTGGAGCTTTTAAAAAGTTCCTGCAGTCGGAATTTGACTATTAATATTAATATTTTAAATTTTTTTCATTTTCTTTATGAAATAAAAAAATTCTAAAATAAAATAAAAATTAATTGTGACTTACGCTCCCAGTACGGTATAGTATTCCAATGTGAAGTGATAATAACAAATCCTTGGTGGTTCACCTTCACGACAAGCGCGGGCACACTCATCAGGAGCCGATAGCGCTGGGTTACGTCTCAATTCCGCTGTGGCACTAGTGGCAAAATCTAAATGCCTAAAGGGGGATTTTGGATTTGGATTGACGACCGTACCACCAATTGAGGGTGATGGTTCATTGGGGTAATGGGCACCAGTGGGGAAACTTCCACGTGAATTAAGGAAACCACTACCACTCACTGTGGCCGGTTGACGTGGCGGTATTGATCCGGTACCTAGACTATTACCCGACAATGGAATGGGCCTCGATGCCGGTTTGCCATTCAGTGCAGGATGTGTTTGAACAATGCCATGAGTGGCCGAAAAGAATGGCGAATCAAAGGGTGTGGAAGAGGAGGGTGTGACTACATGCGATTGCCAAAATGATCCGGCTGGTGTTTGATCGGTTTGTTTGTCTGTAAAGAAGAAAAAGAAAAAAATTAAATTAAAAAATTAAATGGATGTGAGAACAAAAGAAGGTTAGGTTGGGTTGAGGAGATTTTTTTGTTTTTATTTTATATTTTATTGTTGTTGTTTTTTTATATTTTATTGTTGTTTTTTTTAGAACTAGCCATTGTTCATTGATTCCATTTAAAGAGACTTAGGTGTTAAATCTATAATATTATTTACTTTCAATTTTTGTTTTTTTTTTATTTGGAATATTTCGCTTTTGTTGTTGTTTTTTTCTTATTGTTGTTTAAACAATAATTTTTTTCTAACACTTTTTTTTGAAAAGGTATTGGCAACAGATATTGCACAATCTTTTTGATTTAGAGCAGAAAATTAAATGTCGAAAATTTGCGATTACCTTGAATGTGAACACCAACGTCGATGACGATGACGTCGGTCGATGTATCGCCAATCGATGTTTGAAACTGAAATTTGTTGTAGTTGTTGATATTTTTTGTGAATTATGATTTTTCTTTAAAATTTCAAAAATTAACAGTTAATTATAAATTAAAAAAAATGCTCAGATTCGATAAGCAAAGAGGTTGGGCCGGACACCACCAATTGTTGTTGTTCGAACTAGATTCTTGTAGTTGTTTTTGTTGTTATGATTTTTATTAAGTTTCATTATGGGTTTTAAAAATTGATGTTTTTAATTTTTTTTTTATGTTTCGATTTTTTGTAAGATTGTTTTGAATTATAAAGTGTTAATTAAATAAGTGCGGCCTTTTGAGGTTGCTTATCGCAGAATTTGCAACAAGAGTGTTGTTTAAGTATGTGGCAACGATTTTAGACTTAATTAAATTATGTTGTTTAGTTCGGTTATGGAAATTTTTAACACTTGTTGGTAATTACTTGTCGAAGGCCTTACATCTATAACAGGCATTTTTGACGGATTCTTGAAGGCCTTCTCGGTTATTATCTGCATTAGATGCTCAGCAAGAATTTTTATGGAAATTTGTCAAAGGAGGCTATAAAAAATAATTTTTATAGAAATTCGTCAACGAAGCTCCAATGGAGGATCGACAAGAATTTCTATAAAAAATCCTCAACGAACTTACGATGTAAGCTCGACCAGGATTTCCTGTAGGAATTCCCAAATTAAACTCTAATGAAGGTTCGAATGACATTCATCAAGAATTGTTTCGGAGATTCGTCAACGAACTTCCGATATTTTTATAGATGGGATTTTCTATAGAAATTATTGTCGATCCTTCAAGCCGATTTCAGAGGTTTGTTGACGAATTTTTATAGGAATTCTCAATGGAACATTTTTTCGGAGATTCGTCAATGAACTTCCGATATTTTTATAGATGGGATTTTCTATAGAAATTCCTTTCGATCCTCCAAGCCATATTCGGAGGTTCGTTGACGAATTTCTATAGAAATTTTCAACGATAATCATATAGAGGATTTGACAAGAATTTCTATAAAAATTCATCGACATTCCTCCGAATAATGATCAACAAGAATTTCTTCGTCAAAAAAAAAAAAAAAAAAAAAAAACTCCGATAATAGATCGGCTAGAATTTTTATAGAAATTCGTCAACGAATTTCCGATTTCGGTCTGGAGGATTGACAAGAATTTCTATAGAAAATCTCAGGGATCTTTCCATCTATTAAAATATCGTTAGAAATTCCTCGGTCATCATCCAAAAATTCGTATCGATCCTCTAACGAAGCTGCATTGGAGGTGGGACAAGAATAAATATTGAAATTCCTCAACGATCCTTCGAAGTTTTGAAGGCAATAAATTTGTCGTTGATCCTTCGGCAGACGATCGACAGGAATTACTATAGATTACTTCTCAGCGACCCAAGGTTCCTGAGGAATCCTGAGATATTTATCAAAAATGCGTTCGAGATCGGAGGAAATTTCCATTGATCTGATCGATGAATATTTCTAAAGAAATACTTATTAAACGTCACAAAAAAAAAAGTTTTGTAAACAAATACCGAACGATCCACCTAGCCTTGGAAATATTCGTTAAAAATTCACGCCTATAGAGCTCCACTTAGCCTTGCAAATATTCGTTAAAAATTCACGCCTATAGAGCTCCACTTAGCTTTGCAAATATTCTTTAAAAATCCACGCCTACAGAGCTCCACCTAGCCTTTGAAATATTCTTTAAAAATCAATGCCTATTGAGCTCCACATAGCTTTGGAAATATTCTTTAAAAATCCACGCCTATAGAGCTCCATCTGGCCTTGGAAATATTCTATAAAAATCCGCGCCAATAGAGCTCCATCTGGCCTTGGAAATATTCTTTAAATATTTAGACCAATAGAGCTCTATCTGGCCTTGGAAATATTCTCTAAAAATCCACGCCTGTAGAGCTCCACCTGGCCTAGGAAATATTCTTTAAAAATCCACGCCTGTTGAGCTCCACCTAGCCTTGGAAATATTCTTTAAAAATCCACGCCTGCAGAGCTCCACCTAGCCTTGGAAATATTCTTTAAAAATCCACGCCTGCAGAGCTCCACCTAGCCTTGGAAATATTCTTTAAAAATCCATATTGCCTTGGAAATATTCTTTATCCACGCCTGTAGAACTCCTCCTAACCTTGGAAATATTCTTTAAAAATCCACGCCTTTAGAACTCCACCTAGCCTTGGAAATATTCTTTATCCACGCCTGTAGAACTCCTCCTAACCTTGGAAATATTCTTTAAAAATACACGCCTTTAGAACTCCACCTAGCCTTGGAAATATTCTTTAAAAATCCACGCCTTTAGAACTCCACCTAGCCTTGGAAATATTCTTTAAAAATCCACGCCTATTGAGCTCCACTTAGGCTTGGAAATATTCTCTAAAAATCCACGCCTGTAGAGCTCCACCTGGCCTTGGAAATATTCTTTAAAAATCCACGCCTGTTGAGCTCCACCTAGCCTTGGAAATATTCTTTAAAAATCCACGCCTGCAGAGCTCCACCTAGCCTTGGAAATATTCTTTAAAAATCCATATAGCCTTGGAAATATTTTTAATCCGCGCCTGTAATTCTTGAACAGATTATGATTAATGGAATATATTTGTCCATTTCATTATTTTCTATCAATCCATCGCCTGCTTTGCACACATCCTGGCATTGACATTCATGTGTCCATTGACTCCATTACCTCCATTGTGCTTTTGTCGTGAGCCTTCACAGCAGACATCAAATCAATCATCATTTTGTTGTTGAGGACATTGATCCATCATCTTCGTCTGATGGCATGTGGTGGCATGTGTTTGCATTTCTTATTGTAATCGCCTATTTCATTTTTTTTTCATTTTCATTAATTAAATTATCCGGTAAAAGAAAGCATAGCCAATTCAAAATAGAAATAAAGAAAAATAAAACTGAAAAACTTGATATGGAAATTATTTTCTATTATCATAGCTCAGTATTGCAGACAATTAAAATGAATGAAAGAGTAAAAGTGTGTGTGGATAGACATAATACAATGATTTTAATTGTAGGCTATTAAATGATAAACTAGAGAAAAAGAAATTGGAATGATGGCAGAAAAAAAAACTAAAGACTTAGACAACAAACTTGTTTGGATGGAAAAATGCTCACAAAATCGATTAAAATATTTTTGGTAGCTGGTAGCAAGACATACTTAAGATTAAATGAAAACCGTAATGCCTATATAAAGCTTTCGAAATATAATTTAAAAAATTGAAAATATTTTTTAAAAATCTACGCCTATGGAGCTCGACATAGCTTTGAAAATGTTCCCTAAAAATCTTCGCCTGTAGAGCTCGACATAGCCTTGAACATATTCTTTAAAAATCCACACCTAGAGAGCTCGACATGGCCTTGAAAATATTCTTTAAAAATCCACGCCTAGAGAGCTCGACATAGCCTTGAACATATTCTTTAAAAAACCACGCCTGTTAAGCTCGACATGACATTGAAAATATTCTTTAAAAATCCACGCCTATAGTGCTCCACATAGCCTTGAAAAAATATTCTTTGAACATCCCCGCCTGTAGAGCTCGACATAGCCTTGAAAATATTCTTTAAAAGTCCACGCCTATAGAGCTCGACATAGCCATGAAAATATTCTTTAAAAATCCACGCCTGTAGAGCTCGAAATAGCCTTAAAAATCCACGCCTGTAGAGCACGATATAGCCTTGAAAATATTCTTTAAAAATCCTCGCCTGTAGAGCTCGAAATAGCCTTAAAAATCCACGCCTGTAGAGCACGATATAGCCTTGAAAATATTCTTTAAAAATCCTCGCCTGTAGAGCTCGAAATAGCCTTAAAAATCCACGTCTGTAGAGCACGATATAGCCTTGAAAATATTCTTTAAAAATCCTCGCCTGTAGAGCTCGAAATAGCCTTAAAAATCCACGCCTGTAGAGCACGATGTAGCCTTGAAAATATTCTTTAAAAATCTACGCCTATAAAGCTCGACATAGCCTTGAAAATATTCTTTAAAAATCTACGCCTATAAAGCTCGAAATAGCCTTAAAAATCCACGCCTATAGAGCTCGACATAGCCTTGAAAATATTCTTTAAAAATCTACGCCTATAGAGCTCGACATAGCCTTGAAAATATTCTTTAAAAATCTACGCCTATAAAGCTCGAAATAGCCTTAAAAATCCACGCCTATAGAGCTCCACATAGCCTTGAAAATATTCTTTAAAAATCCACGACTAGAGAGCTCGACATAGCCTTGAAAATATTCTTTAAAAATCCACGCCTAGAGAGGTCGACATAGCCTTGAAAATATTCTTTAAAAATCCACGCCTGAGAGCTCGACATAGCCTTGAAAATATCCTTTTGAAATTCACGCCTAGAGAGCTCGGCATAGCCTTGAAAATATTCTTTAATAATCCACGCTTAGAGAGCTCGACATAGCTTTGAAAATATTCTTTAAAAATCCACGCCTTGAGAGCTCGACATAGCCTTGAAAATATTCTTTAAAAATCCACGCCTGTATAGCTCGGAATACCCCTTGTAAATATTCTACAAGAATCAATGCCTAGAAAGCTC